AAATGACACAACATACTTATTGAAATATATCAAATAAAAAGTGATCACATTAAATTTGTATTATATTTTAAATTATTAAAAACTTGCTGACAAATGGCTAAAACCTAGTGGTTTGAAGGATAGTGGCAAAGATCAACATATATATCCACCATAATACAACACATATATCCACCAACAATTGTAGGTTGTTCACATAGTATAGTGTCGGGACTATTCATTGTAATTCCAGATTTATAACATATATGATATTGCAATAACTGATATCATTTTTTTTTTTTTTACAATTTATAAAAATTGTTGTTGGCTAACATTTCAATATTGGTGCTTTTACTGACACAAATTGTCATGATTGTACTATCAGACCTTTATCACTCCTAGATATAAACAATGCAAGTTAAAATAACACTGGGCATTTTTAAAGTCTATGAAAGATGGGTCGCAGCAGGAGCCACAAAAGCACTGATACCGTCTCAGAGAAAAGAGCCATTAATCTCCTTCTCATTAAAACATCAGCCGCCTGTTTTAGCTACATTTACAAAGCAACATTTTTTCATATCCAGCTAGACCACGCAGGCACAATCCCGGAGGCGATCTGTTTCAAATACAATTACAACACATTGATTTTCTATAATTAATCTATGTCTCTGTGTACTATCATTGTCAGTTCACTGTAAGCTTACGTGTCACACACACGTCTACACAATCACAAGTGCACACTTTTGGGACACAGTGTGGTGGATTACATCTAAAAGAGCTCAGATCAAGGCTTGTGTGTGTGTGTGTGTGTGTGAGGGTCAGCGCTGGACAGATATGGACAGACTCAGATAGGCATCTCTAAGTGTTTGTGTTGTGAAGGAGGGATAATGGGTTAAAAGCAAAGGATAAATAAATGGAAAAAGCTCTTTTTCTTTTTGTCTGTCTGTTGGGATTTGACTTAAGAAATCTTTCAGCTCTCCTAATAAAAGCAGTTTTTCTGTCTGACACAGATGCTTCTTAGAGACACAGGGTGGGGTGTGAGAAAAATAGATGGATGATGTTATAGATTATCTGGCACAGATGTTTTCATTACATAACCTCAGGGCTGATTCTGCCCTCACACACACACACACACACACACACACACACACACACGCGCGTGCGGACACACACACACAGACACAGTTGGTGCATAAAACATTTTGACAAAATATCACATCCATAGTTCTGAAAGACACTGATATGCAACACAACACAATTTTGTTCAGAGGTCGGGTTATTATAGTAAATTAAGTGGGATTGCTTTCTAAAATCATCACTATATTGTTCTCAGATGTCGCTGTACAGTACGCAGTTTAAGTTACATTGTGTCAATGTTGCATTGTTTAAAGCTAAATGGAATTAAACTGAGTGATTCACAAACTATTCACAAACTGGTTTGAGTGAAACATTAAAAAGAAACCGTTCAAAACAAAACAAAAATAAGTTAATTAAACATGAATCAAACGTACTGAAATAAAGATGCACTGTGAAGAATGTTTGCTTGAAAGAAAGAAAGAAAGAAAGAAAGAAAGAAAGAAAGAAAGAAAGAAAGAAAGAAAGAAAGAAAGAAAGAAAAACCTATTTTAGATACATTATAATTTGATTAACTTATAATGTATCTACATTGTTAAAATGTATTGACATGGGATAGATAGATAGATAGATAGATAGATAGATAGATAGATAGATAGATAGATAGATAGATAGATAGATA